TCGAGTACAAACAAAAGAAAAATGAAATCTAAATAGAAATTCGCATATCAAATGAATGAATCATACAGTATTTTATATCCTATCTTCTCTATAAATTTATAAACAGTTTTATTTATTACAAATAATAAATACTAATTATTAAAATTCAAATTCAACTCTATCTTAAAAACGTGATTGTTTCTACCTTTATACAACTCCTCTATATTTTTGCAATTTTTGTCGAAATAAAAATTCCCATGTAAATTCAAATGTATTTTAAACACAATACAACTCGATTAGCCGTATTTCTATCTCAAAAGGTAGTTATTTTTATACAACTATAGCCCACTAATTTACGACAGGTAAACAATAGCCAATCGATTATTGTTAATTTATTATGTTGCTCGGATACCGTACAGATTTTATCCTAATTATACAAGATTATAATTGACGCTTAGCCGGATAATAAAATATCCCATTACAACCGGAGTACAATCAACATTTACGACGTCACAGGAAGTATGAATATACGCGTGTGCATTTACACATCAACCCAAAACCATAAATCAATTATTACGTCATTCGCCTGTTTCCGAGCACACACCTACATCTACTATTAAAATCTCATTCACACCGCCATACTTGCTACCCACTTGATTGCCTACCACTTTCAACATACCTATTCTCTAGCCTCGCTCAATTACTTTACACCTTCTACACGACTGTGACACGTAAAGTGACCTACATAGTTACTAGATAATTACTAGATAATAATCGCTACATTATTTTATCCCCATTTTCTATTAATTTGTTCAATATATTGATCTAACGTAGTTATGTGATTTACATAGTTATTAGATAATTATCGCTAGATTACTTTATTCCCATTTTCTATCAACTTGTTCAACATATCGATCTAACGTAATTATAAAAAGTATCGTTATCGAAATATTTAACTAAAAGTTTCTTTTTTGCTACGAATCATATTAACAGTTTCAAACAGATAGATATCATAATGACAGTAGAAAAATATAAATTCCTCTTTCCTTCAAGAAGCTCTCGCGTATACGTTTAAGTTAATTAATAACAAACTCTATTTTAAAACTTGTTAAAATAAAAGAGAAAGATTCAGCGTTCAAAGTTTATCACGACTATCGTATCGCGAGTACGAGGCGACGATCCAATTGAAAAAAGTAGCCACGATAGGGCTACTAAAACGAGCACAACGACCGATCGATCTAATCTCTCGTCCATCCATCCATCCATCCATCCATTATATCTCCATCCGTTCAAAAATTCACACGCACACACGCGCGCAAAGCGGGCAAAGACGAGGAGGCGGGCGCGTGCAAGAAGGCAAATTTGGTGAACGGTGGACGCGACTCGACTCGAGCACGTCGCCAAGCTGTCTCGAATGGAACGTCAGAATTCGCCCGGAGGTAATATCCCGTAAATGGCCGAACCTGTTTCGTTACAGGTGGTCGTCGCCACCGCTTCTCTCTTAAACGCCTTTTCCTCTCTTGGCTTCGAGCTGGATCCGCGCCACGGTTACGCCCTTCGCCTTTGAAACGAGATTAGGTCACGATCGAGACTCGAGACTGTGCGTAACAACGACGGCCCGTGACTTTCCACGATGGATATTGCCCCCCTTTCGCCTGCTTTTAATATCGACTTTATCGCGTTATGCGCCGTTTAACGTTCGATTCAAACGCCTCCGCTTCTTACTCTTTGCTTTTCAACTCTTGCTTTTTTTCTTTTTCTCAAGGGGGAGAGAGAGAGACAGAGAGAGAGAGAGGGGTTTGATAAATTTGTAAAGCGGATTACCTCTCTTGTCGTGGTCTTGAGAGGTTTTGCGAGAAAGGGGCCGAGTTCGTTCCAGCGAGTCTGCGAGAAGGAGAATATTTTAAAAATACTTTAAAGATAAATTAATTTTCTCAATCGAATGTATTAACGTTAAGATTACATCAAAAAATTTTATATCAAATCTTTCTTTTTCTTGTCAAAAAATTACACACCATAAAAACCGTACTTCCAAACCCGATATTAAATCAGCAAAAAAATTACTCCCTCTTTCTCTCTCCCTCCTCTGCCGTATATTTCGTCCATACACGCGATTCCCCTCCCCTTCTATTCTCTTATTGCCCCTGTTACAAAGGGCCGACGATATCTCTTCGATAAACACACAAACGATCCAAGATCTTATGGTAATACTACCGATGGAACGCGGCTTCGCGCCATAAATTTCACCGGCGGTCGAACACGGGTCCGTTTATTTTTCCTGAAAAATGACGAAAGCCCGGAGGAAGGCATGCTCCAGGAGGCCGAGCCACGGTCTTCGACCGCGGGAGGGTTAACGTTCTTTAAATTCGTGCACACGCGGTTGGCCCTCGAGCGCCAGAAGAAAAAGGGCAGCAACCGGTGGGTGAGATCGACGACCAACCAGGAGGGGAGGGAGGAAAGAAAAGAAATAATACGAGCAACCGTCAATTAAGCACGCTGTTGATTCCATAAGAAGATGAAAAGAGTGCGCGTGTCAAAAAGAAATCTTTTGATTTTAGAGTAAGAGATTTTTGAGCATTTCTTTCGTTTCATTTTATTTCTTTCAACGTGTTTTTTTTAATTTTTTTTGATTTTATCGATCGCGTATGAATTCATTTTTCAATTCATTGTGGTATCATCGTGGTGATCACGAAGTGAATGATAGAGCGTTGTTGTATTTTTTGAGTATTTTTGAGCAATTTATCAATAGATTTAAGTTTTTTAACGGATCATAACATGTCGATTAGTCAGATCGTTAAATGTTTTCTAAGTTTTCTTTTTTTTTTTTTGTAGAGTGAAGATGTTACTTGTAAATTATTAACCGGTTAGAAATCAATCATTTGGAGAGCTATTATTTCTTTGAAATGTAGTCGTAAATCAATCACTAAGACTAAGAATGCAATTTGTAAACTTAATTGTATTACCGTTGTTGAAAGTTTCTACAGATCGGTGCATAAAAGCTGTTGGCCAAAATTAATTACTCTTGGTACTTGGAATTTAACGTATACACTTTTCTACGCGCTTTTATTAATGAGCGAAGGTATTGTCCATAAATCATTGTAGCATTGCATCAATCATACACGAGATAAAAGCAACGAAATTGTAAATATCACGTGCACGTGTCTGCTCCAACGTATAATCGTTATTAATGCAATTCCATCGAATGAATTAAACGACCACAAGTCTTCTTTATACGCACACCCTTCTTAAATTTAATTCAATTACCTCCTCTCTTCGAATTCATATCACTTTGCAATAAAGACAATTCCACCAATTTTCCTAAATTATTTACTCGAAACGTTGTTCAACAATTCAAATCCCAAAATGAGGAAAAGTAATCCAAAAAAGAAATTTTTTTTAATGAACAATAACAATAATATCCTCCGATCTCGTGAAACTAGTACGCGAGATGATCGGTGTACGGCTGACGAAATAATTAATCCGCGCCTCCGTGGACAATGAAACGGCTCGACAACGGAATGTTAATCGAGCTGTCGAAAAAAACCGGTCGTGGCCCGAAAAGGGAGGAAAGAGAGAAAGGGGAGGGGGAGGAGTTGTCCCTCTCCCACCCCTGGCCGCCTGCTGCCCATTTATTTATTCGCTTACGCTCGAATGAACTTTCGCCGCGCGACACACACGTGACACGCCGTGTTTTTAAAACGGGGAAGGGAGCAGGAATGGTCATGAATAAAACGATAGGTATCCAAGTCACCTGGACGTCCCTACGTAAAAGTGTTACATACACACGAGTGCTGCGCCTTGCACACGTGTGCATCGTTGTCCCTCCTAATGCGAGTCCCTCCACAAGCCCCATGCATTATTAATACGTTTTCGGCGCGGGACCAAGTATATTCCCTTCAACCGATGTACACTCGATGTACCCGATCGAGGGACGAGGCGATGGTGGTCTTCTCGACCCACTCTCATCTCCGAGACGAGATTTTCGCCTATTGTAAGGAGGATAATAGTTTTTTGTATTTATAAATTGGGAGGTATATGTAAAAAATATATATATGCATACGTGTGTAATGTGAATTTATTTAAATTGGAATGTTGAAGCTTCGTGAAGAGGCCACTCTCATCTTCGAGACGAGATTTTCGCCTATTGTAACGAGGAGGCTATGGATAATAATTTTATGTATTTATAAATTACTTTGTTTATGTAAAAAATATATATATGCATACGTGTGTAATGTGAATGTATTTAAATTGGAATGTTGAAGCTTCGTGAAGAGGCCAATCTCATCTTCGAGATTTTTGCCTATTGTAACGAGGAGGCTATGGATAATAGTTTTATGTATTTATAAATTACTTTGTTTATGTAAAAAATATATATATGCATACGTGTATAATGTGAATGTATTTAAATTGGAATGTGAAGCTTCGTGAAGAGGCCACTCTCATCTTCGAGATTTTCGCCTATTGTAACGAGGAGGCTATGGATAATAGTTTTTTGTATTTATAAATTACGTTGTATATGTAAAAAATATATATATATGCATACGTGTGTAATGTGAATGTATTTAAATTGGAATATGAAGCTTCGTGAAGAGGCCAATCTCATCTTCGAGATTTTTGCTTATTGTAACGAGGAGGCTATGGATAATAGTTTTATGTATTTATAAATTACTTTGTTTATGTAAAAAATATATATATATATGCATACGTGTGTAATGTGAATGTATTTAAATTGGAATGTTGAAGCTTCGTGAAGAGGCGGATAAAACGTAATTCGTGGATCTACTTTAATTCCGGATAATTCAGTCAATAGAATCGGTGTAACTAATTAAATAAATTTTTTTAAAGAGATATTCCCAATATTCTCTTTATAAACTCTACAAATTCTGTACAACTAATTAAATAAATTTTTTTAAAGAGATATTCCCAATATTCTCTTTATAAACTCTAAAAATTCTGTACAAACGATGGACTTCAACAGATAATTATTACGAATAATTCGAATGTGTGAATAACCAACTCACCGATCACGCCGCAATTATGCGCTCCAACCCGATCATCGGCTTGGTTCGTGGCATCGGGGTCTACCAGAGTGTAGGGTTTTATCCTTTGGACGACGTGTTCCAACGAAAATTCTAGAGAATCCTCCTTGTCGCTCTCCCGCCAGGGCTTGGCCGGTTTAATTATGTAGCTTCCCGTCGATGTTCTCACGTGTCCCGTCTGCGACAGAAAAAAAAAAAAAGACATGCCAAAAATTCGGTGAGTCATTCCACACCATGATTGGCCTTTTATCCCCTCAATGAAACCAGCTACCTACTTGCGCTAACCCTTTTCTTCTCTCTCTCTCTTTCTCTTACGCTCGTTCGTTCTTTCTTTCTTTTTCCACGTCATCGAGCCGTGAAATTTCGATCAATTGTCCACGTAATCTCTAAAGCCATTAATCGCGTTTATCACGGTGAAAGTGAACCATTTTTATTGTTTTTTTTTTTTTTTTTTAAACGAAAGATGAATCGATGTAAACACGACGATTATTCGTCTTGTGTTGCAGTTTACACGGTAATTTTGTTAAAATCAGTCGAGTCATAATATACATCGAGGTGAAAGGGAGGATAATTGAATTCGACGTAATTGAAGATTTCTTCTTCTTTTTTTAAATTGGCGAAAAAAAGGGAGGAGGATGGTGTGTTTGGATAAGGCGATCGCGATCTTTGTGGGAAACAACTTGAGATCGATTTAATTATATATATGTTTATTATGATTTTTTAATCGAGGATGCTTTCAGTGATCTCGTTCGATTCTTTTCCAAGATTGATCGAATTAAATTTTTCGAGGGGGAGAGGAACAGGAGGTGCGAGGAAGATATCAACGGAGATACTTTCTATGTATAAAAAGCTTCGAGATAATTTCAGATGAGCTCTGAGATGAGAAAATAAATTGTAGTTAAAATTAAATAGGATTGTAAACGTATGTAGAATACACCTTTCGGAAAAGGAAATTCGTCCATTCGTTCATTGACAGATTCGTCGAAATTTCGGCCATCCATACCATCCGTTTCCAAGAATGCCAATTTCTGACTGAGCGTTGTCACTTTTTTCCCATTTGATGCTCATAAAATATACAACGTTGTAAAGCTACTTTATTACCGAACATGTTCATCCCATAAAACGTTTAACCGAAGAAAGTTTCCTCCTCTGTCTCAAACTTTATTACATTTTCACTTTATCTTAAAATTGTCACTTTTTTTTCTACATAAATAAGTACATACATTTGAGTCATTCTTTTTTATTTGCAAATTATTCATTTTCCTTTTCAACATTCCTTGATCAACGATCGAGCATCAAGTATTGATTATTATTCACTAAAAATTATTTGTTGTGTCATTAATTCAATCGTGTAGACACGCGCGTCTCGATCACCACGAAAGTTTTACTTTCACTTCAACCATAGTCACAATTAATTGTTATCAAACTTTCACTTATTGTAAAAAAAATTTAAAATTAACTACAATTAGAATACATCCCTTATACATAATTCTCGCTTTCAATTTTGATTATTGAACAATCAACATTATCATCAACAAACAATTCACTAAATACTTTAACTATTAAAAAAAAATATACTGTTGCGTACATATTATTCCGTCTATCTCGTTTCTACATCCTCTCCAAAAATAAAAATATCTCTCTTCATACCTCTCTTATTGATATTCCAAATAAAAAAAAAAAAAAAAAAAAGAAACGTTCAAATTTGTAGAACTGGTCCATCATCCCAGAGATAGCGAGACGTATCTCGCGGATCTGCTCGGCGATTTATTTATACATGCAGCGGTGCCCTGACATAACTTCCTCGATTTGAATGTGAAAACACACCGGCTACACGGGACGCCCCCGCTAAGTGTATGCCACCCACGTAAATTCCACGTGTGCGAGGGCAAAGCCGCGGACCCGCGGACGAACTCGAGCGGATCAGGTGAAAATAATCGATTAAAAGCGAGCTTGTTCAACGTTATTCTGTTATAAGTTATTCCAACGAGTAATCGGTTTCGATCCGATTGCATAATTATTTCCAACGAGTTTTTTTTTTTTCTTCTTTTTATTATCCTGTCCCTTAAGAACATACGGATTACAGTTGTTTTGGTTTTATGGAGGGAGGGGATGTACGAGGGAGAGAATTGGAAAGATTTGTTGGAAGAAGGGAGGGAAGGATTTTTGGGCAATTTTAGTCTCGATTGTTTGCGCTTTTTTAAATTTTTTAATTTCTCTCTTTTTGACAGAGGAAGGAGGAATTTGATGGAGGAAGATTGTTTGAAATTCTATACGTATTTTCATAACACGTTGTTTCATAATATTCGTTCCGAAAAGAAAAAGAAAAATTGGCTTTAATAAAGCTAATTTTGCTTGCTTTAAGTCGTGTTCTTGGAATTTTGCCCAATTGCATTAACCTCGATTCGGTCACGAAAACAAAGGTGCACGTGAATACAAAATGCTTAGATTGCAACGAAGAATCCTCTGATCTCTTTCTCCAACGATAAATATGTTATTTCGTTCGAAATCTCTGTGGATTAATAATTTTGTAACTTCTTCTTTTTTCCCACACGTTTTATTAAGTTCAATCAATTTGAAAAAGCTGTTGCAACTTTGTACAAAGTACAAAAATATAATACCTGTTCCCTGAAACAATCATTCTCCAATTGCTATCTAAAAATAAAATAAATAACACCAACTTTCCAACGTTCCAAACCAAACATAACCTATAAAATATTCTAAATAAAACAAGCTAAAAAGAATTAATGGCAATTATTTAAGAAACGCATAATTAAATCGCAAATACGAGATTAACTCACATTGATTGACAAGTCTGCTCTATATAATCCTTTATAACCGGAAAAAATCGAAATAATCATTGCAAACGTTCGATAAAACGTAACCAATGAAAATCGATCGTGTTACAATCGAGAAAAGAAACGATGATCCGATAGAAAAACCACGCGTGTTCCTGATCAATCGAATCTAATTAAGAAGATTATAATTATCATTCATCCACAAAAAAAAAAAAAAAGAAAAGAAAAAAAAAGAAAAAAAGAAAGAAAACTGACCAGTCGAACCAGAGCCGGGGAGAAAGTCGACCTAATTAATTATTGCTCCTAATTACAGGAATCTCGGTTGCTCGTCGATGAATAAACGACTATGATTCGTACAGTGATGGCCGATTAACGGCAGCATGTCGATTATCAACGCCTCTTAACGCACTTCCGCTTGTAATTTCAGCGTTTCGAACGTAGCCAGCTGATATGCAGATCACTTTGAAACGAGCGGAGATTGCCGAGACGAGGAATTATTGCGTGTTTACACGGGATCAACAGGTTCGGAGACAGGGAGTGATTCAAGGATGCAAGATGGCTTCTTGGAAAATTGATAATCATCATTTCCTCGTTAATCTATTAATCGTAAATTACATGTTTATTTAAGTTTTGTTTTTCAATTTAATTGTTCCTTTATTCTGGAAACATTTTTCTCTTCCTTTTGTTGTTTGATGATGATGATGGTAATTACTCAACTACTAGGTGGACGTAATTGTACATTTCCCACAAGTTTCTTTTCTATTCAAGTTTTTTTCTGCAATTTCCTGCGTGCAACAGGTTTCAATTTGGAAATGGATTCGTTAATTCGATAATCGATGCTATTTGAGCGAAGGATGATTTCTATGATTTCTTCCTTCTTGTTGTCGTTCTCATCTCATTCGAAAGGAAAAATACGATAACGAGATGAGTAGTAATAGTAGTAATAATAATAGTAGTAGTAATAATAGTAGTGGTAGTAGTAGTACTACCAATTACAAAAGATTTATAATATTTAATAACCGGAGGGAAGTTAAAAGATACTCAAGTTAAAAGACACAACACAAGATTCGAAACGATCAATTAACGATTCAACGTGTTTTGAGGGGGGAGAAAAAAAGAAAAGAAAGAAAGGAAGAAGAAAAAAGAAAAGAAAAAAAGAAAAAGAGACGAAAGTCGTAATAAAAAATTCATAAAGAGATAGAGAGAATGGAAAGAGAGAGACAGAGAGAGAGAGAGAGAGAGAGGACTCTGTAATAAGCCTGGGAAGAAACTCAATCAATATACAAATATACGTACGCGTCTCATTGTCAACAGCGGCTCGTAAAGAGATTTGTCACGCTTCAAAAATTCACCTCGCTTCAAAAGGCCCTTGCGCGCACCGCGCCCAAGAAGCTTTCTTTCTTGCCCGCCACCTGTCCCCGCCACTATACCCAAACTACCCGAGCCGCGGTCATTCTCAATTTCTAAAGAAAATGAAGATACACATTTCCCTGACAAAAGCCATGTATAAGTCCATAAAACTAGGTGTATAGAATTCTTTTCCACACTTAATAGAAAACCAACCGCATGAACATCGGGACAAAGGGAGGAAAATATGAGCGAGGCGTGCGGATAGACTTCTGCTGGTAAGTAAGTTAAAGTACTTAGTTACACAGAGAGGAATCGCATTTCTCTATTCGAACAACGAAAGACAACGTGGGCTTTCAGCTGTCGCGGCTGTCCTTTCGATTACGAACAACCGTAAACGGTCATTCTGCTCGCGTGTACACCACTGTGGGGACAGGAGAGGGGAGGAGAGAGTGAGGGGGGGGAGGAAGAGAGGGAAAGAAGTTCACCTTTGGGAACGTTGCTGCTTCGTTTCATTCAGAAGCATAGTTGCGCGTACGCGAGGAGAGAAGAGTTGGAAGGATGGAGGAGAGAGGAAATTTATTGGCCAGGTGGAAACACGTCTCATTGTTCCTTCTTTTTTTTTTTCTTTTTCTTTTTTTTTCTCTCTTCTCCCGATCGTTTCCTTCCCTCCTGATCGTTGCGCGCCACGATCATTTTGTGTCATCCTTTTTTGTTTTTCTTTATGCAGACAGTCTCGAGCGGAAGAGACGAGCGTTGAAGCATGAGGCTGGGGGAAAAATGGCGGGGGGTCGAGAAAGCGCCCTCTTTGTCTCGTGAAACGGGAAAGAAAAATTTGTCGCGCGAGATTTGTACGTGGTTCGAGTGAAACCCCTTCCGTGATTATTAATCACTTGTTTCGAAAATTTAATTTTTCTCTCTACGAAAGAGAGGAAGGTCGTTCTTTTAGAAATTATTATATTTTGAAGAAATTTATCACGATATTATATTATTATATTATTTTCTCCTTCCGTCCGCGTTCTACACTCTTTTA